CAAATCAGAACATAATAGCCCCAACTTGCAACCAAAATTCTGGTCACAATTGTGGTCGTAAATCAAGGCCTATCTGTAATAAATTTTCCTCTTCTATAATGAAAAATAATAATTCAATGGCTGAAAGGTCTCAATAGGCCTTATTCAATATTTTCAGAGGCTATCTCTAGCCCTCAAGTTGTACATTTCTGATGTAAAGTACAGAGGAATATAAAGAAAACAAGGAAAAAAGTAAATGGATAAAATTGATGTAGGGATAACATTTCAAGGAGAAACTCAGAGCTCTGTTCTGAAGTGTATGATGAGGCACAGTGAATGATATGCATATAACTTGATCTAGCATCTTTATTTTTATAAATAACTCAAGGTAGCAAAAAAAAAGCTTAATATTACTTCTTCCTGTTATTTTCTTCAGCAACAACAACCCTGTAAGGTGTGTTGGACAGATTTTCATGGTTAAGGCAAGACTAAAAGTCATAGTCTCCTGGTTTCTAGCTGGGTGCCTTAACTGCCAAATCAAACTGGCTCTCTTAAACATGTCACTATACATACAAAGCAAATGAAATAGACTGCTACATTTCAATTCTCAGTCACAGCTTTTATGGCAATAATTCCTTTTCTTTTCTCCTGTCTTTAAGACCTTATGCTTGCTATTTTTTTACTCCTTTTTAATATTTTGCATCAAAATGTTTATTCTAAAAGGGGACAGCATATCTGTATATGTATAGGTATATTATGTGTATGTGTATATATATGCATGTATTATATATGTGTGTGTTTTTAAAAAATAATTTCCATAATAGTATTACGATTTATTACACAATAGTTCCGTTTGATTTAAAATCTCCTCTACAAGGAAAAAATAAAGTTACTTGTCTTATATAAACATTATTTGCTATAATTTCAAAAGGTTTTACTTCTCACCCACTCCTCTGCCAGATTCCCTTGTATTCTGGGTTCTTCTCATCCTCCACAGCCAACAAACTGTTTATATGTTTCCCATTCTCAAAAACCTTCTAATATAAGAGTAATCAATAAAAAACACACTTGAAATAGGTTGTGTTTAATTATCTTCCTTTTATTCATCTACAAATTATTTTTAAATATAGTATCATATAACCATTTTACTGTAACTCTTATTCTAGTATGCTTAACATTAATTACAACATATCCCTCTGCATAGATATATAATATTCAGACCTGAAGTAGTGTGTTTTGTATCTGGCACTGACATTTTGATGGTACCTGTCAGAGGCTCCTTAAAGAAGTTGCATCTAAGGAACTATTGGACATCTCAGATGCATCATTACTTTGAATTTAACGGGGGGCTTCACAATATACTCTTTTTATAAAGGAAATTCATCTGCATTATTTGTATCAGCATATCAGATAAAGAATTCTTCAAGAGAAAAATAAGTAAGAGATCTTTGTTGTCAAGAATGATCTCTTCTAAAACTGTAGATGACAAAAACAAACACATTATAGAATTTCAAACAACAAGAAGCAAGCTACTAGACATGTTTTTAAGGTACTGTAGAAGCTAAGCAATATTCTCCACCCCCACCCCCAAGACATTCATGATTTCAATGGTGACACAACCCAGGCCTCAAATACCCTTGCCGTTATGAAGCAACTCAGGCAGGAAGAAGAGAGGTAGAGGATGAGCCACACAGCCACTACTTCTCTACTGTCATTAAAGCAAGAGACCTCAACCATGCAAGGTCTCAGGAGAAGGGCAGGAGATCAGTGAGCCAGAACCACTTTTAAAGTCACAAGGGCTTCCAAGAACTCTGTTTCCACCACAAGGATCATCTATTCTGGTTGTACTTCCAGGCAATCTGTAGTAGAATAGCAGCTCTTTTCTCACTTGCTCCATCCTTCCTTCAGCATTGCTATCCTACTACTTCAGCCTTATCCAAGCAACAATGTTTATTGGAGGAATGGAGCAAGGTAGCTGCCCAGCACTATTTGGGCTCTCATCTGCTATTATAAACAGTTAAGAAGCCATCAGTCCCTCTTCCATTGACCAAAAGATATGAACCAAACATATAAAGTATCACTGAAGATGAACCAAGTACACTAGAATAATAATGTAACTGTCCCCCCAAGAAAAAAGCATATTTACATTTTAATATAATGCTCAATGACTCATCTGGTTCCAGTAGCATACAAATATAAGTTATTGTTTGTAACCCATCCAGAGTTATCTTATCAGTGAGATAAATGACATATAAATTTAATAAGTAAGTAAATAAGTTTTCAGAAAAACATGCCATAGTTCCACTCTCTTTTGTTTGATAGCTTTTTTAAAAATACAGAACATTTTTATTCCTTATGTATATTATAAAACATACTGCAGTTGAAGACACTGTCCAATTCTTAAAACAAATTAACTATCAGAAAATAACAAATAAGGAACATTAGTCAATACATCTTACATAATTCATAGTAACATGAGACAGCTGATATTGTTGGCTTCCCCAGAGTTTTTACTAATTTTGTAGTGTAATTCTATACAAGTCTACCTCAAAATAAACTCTATTGAGTTTGATAGTGTTTACTCCAATGAGTTATATTACAATAAATAGCCTACCTTGTATTACATTATTTTCCTTCTGAATAATTACCAACTCTTACCTTTAGAAAAGAAATGTGTCTATCTGAAGAGTAACAAGGGAATATCAATGCTATGTAATGTTTATGCTTCACACTAGGTATAATCAAAATACATAGCAGAGCTGCCATAATTGTGGCAACAGTACATTTTGTTACCATTTCTTTAAAATGTTAAACAGTATTTGAAAACAGTCTGGATTTAAACAGATTTTGCAAAATGTACATGTGAAGATGGAGGCAGTGGTAAACTGCTAATACAAATTCCATCACCCACATGCTTTTTAATGTAAGCCGAAAGGAAACTAAAAAAAAATATCTTGCCTACTGCATTCCTTGACTCTGTTAACAATTCTGAAGTAACTGGCTTTTGAAGCTTCTTCTTTTCGTTCTAAAGTATTGGCCCCATGCTATATTTCTTGGCAGTTGTCATGTTACTTCTTAAAAGTATGCTTGTATTGCTTTTTCATTTTAAGTCAGTTTATTTTTTAAGGGAAAAATAACAAAGCTCACAATATTAAACCTTTCTAATTTATTTTTATAACCCATTTTAAAAATGTCTTAATAATTAATAATAATAAAAGTGTCACACTATAATGGAAAGCTTGAGTTCATATGTTAGATACAGGATAAAATACTCATCCAGCAAAAAGAAAAGAAAAAGAAGAATCTCTTGTAGAATTTTGGGCAAGCATATGCAGTCCCCACTTCATGTGGCAGAAAAGACTGCAGCAGGTACATGGTGTTATGCCAGTGGCTACTGCAGGAAACATTTCAAGGGCAGATAGCATTCTTGCATTTTTAAACATCCATGATAACATGCACTTGGGAGCATGCCCAATATTATTCACATTAACAGATATCAGCATTGTTCATTCAAAAAAAAATGCTGAAGGTTGAAATTCAGAGAAACAGTGTTACTTAAAATAGCTGCAGTAATAGCCTTTGTGTCCATTGCTCTTAGTGTTTCTGAGCTTTGTTCTTAATAGTTGGGATGAAAAATCAGAATTATGTAATGAAAACAGCAATGGCTATTGCATTTCTATTTTCTGCTTGAGGCTGAGAAAGTACAAGCACCATGTGCTATGCTGCTGTACATCCCCATTATTTCCAGCTACCGCTCATGACATCTTACATCCCATACCCCTCCTCTACTTTCTGATACGTTTTCCTAACATGGACAGAGAATATAGACCTCTGTTTTCCATATGCCTTCCTGAATCATGTCATTGCATATAATAGTATGATAGTTATCAGACCAAATTATCACTGTTCAGTAAAGAATAAATTAAGAACTCAGGGTAAGTTTTCTTTGATAGGTATAAATTTCACAATCTTGGGAAATCAGCTTCAAATCAGATTGTAAAGAAATGTTATGCATTTATCTAGGAACCGGATCATCACAGAAACTTATGAGAGGTTCTGTTACATTCAAAGCAAGATACCTAGAACATGCCATAACACTTTCCTGCAGATAATGATCAGTAATAGCAAAACATGAATGCTCCTGCAGTCCTCCTTAATTAATGCTTGGTAAGTTAGTTCTCTTGGAACATCAAGAATCGTAAAAAAAACATTATATACGTTGGACTTAACTGATCCTTACAAATTAAGTCTTCCAGCAGTGCTGATGTAACATTCAACTTGACTTCAATTAGTCATACAACTCTATTTTGTCCTGAGAGAATTTTTCTGTGCTGCACCTGCTCTCTGTTTATGACACCTGATCCTGAATTACAGAAGCTCATTTGTAGGAGTCGGATGAGACATAGTCATAAATGTTTTGCGATAATAGGGGGAAGTACCATTATTCCCAACCCCAGGATCCGAGTGAGTGAGGGAGAGAGAAGAAGGTGGAGTTATCCCACTTCCACCACCAGCAAGCACATAACTGGAATGCCAAGAATCACATTCTCAACCACTGTTATTTGCTTTCGCTTAACCACAGATCATGTCCCCCAAATGTTTGTTGTTCTAGCCCGTCCATGGCAACAGGAAGCCTTCAAACAGGGCTGATCTTGTAAAGAAATAAACGCTCCCCTCCCGGTAAGATCTCGGCAGTTACGGCTCCAACTTCTACCGAAGTCTGTAAATCGCCATCGCGATCCCACAGCAGAGCTCCCTTTCACCCCTCACCCACCCCACCCGCTTCCACGGGGAAAGGCTGGCTGGCGAAAGGGGCTTTCCGATCCCAATTCTGAGCAGCGAGCCTCCGAAGAGCCACGGAGCGCAACCGCCCCTTCCTCGCATCCCTTTTTTCCCCCTATTCTGCCCTCATCGTTTCAGCTCCCTCCGCCTCCGCCCCTCCGCTGCTGCTGCTACTGCCGCTGCTGCTGCTGCTGCTGCTGCTGCTGCTGTGCCGCGCATGCGTGCCTCAATTCCCTCACCGTTGCCGGGTGACTCTCCCCTCGGCCCTCAGTTTCAGCAGCAGGTTTCTCCGGCTTTTTCCGTTCGAGGGCCCGGCTTGACCAGGTGCCGCTCGGCTCTTCAGGGCTGGTCCTCGAGCGGCGTCAGCCGAGGGTAACAAGCGTGAAGCTGCCGTCCCGATCCCGGCCCCGCCCCTGGAGGCCAAATAAATGCACGGTCCCTGGCGCGCGACCGAGAAACCCTCGCTCCCCGTAGCGCGAGCTTCTCCGCTGACGGACTCGTCAACTGTAGTTAGCAAAATAGCAGCAAGCCAGCCGCCGCCTGGAGAAGGAAATGACGCGGGAGCCTGATTGGCAGGGAACGCCAAAGCGCTCGCGAACCCTTCTTTCCCGCCCCTTTGGATAGGAAGTGACGTTTTCCCCACCTTCCCAACGCCCCCCCACCCACCCCTAGTGAGAGAATCATAAAGGAGAGCCGTGTGTGTGAATGACGGCTCGGGCGGGGCGCGGGTGGGTGTGGTCAAGGGAGGCGGAGGCGCTGAGAGCGGGCCGTGAAGGGGGAGCTGCGCTTTGGGGAGCCTTTCTTGCTTTGACCGCCTTTAGTTGACATCCCAAGGGTGTGAGGAGGGAGACAATTGGTTGCAGTGCTTGGTTGCAGTGATGAGGAAAGCGTCATTTACTGAATTTCTGAGCTGTGACTGACGTTTAGAAGAGTAGGGAAACCCACTTCTTACTCAGCATCACCTTTATGCTTTCTGATCGTCAATCCAGAATAATTACTTTTCTCTGATTCCCTCTTTGCAGTTGTTGAAGGAAACATACAAAAAAAAACAACAACCCTGCCATCTTTTTGTATTGTGATTATGTGCTGTCAAAGTTGGCTTGTGGGCTCCTAGTGGCCACCTAGATTTTTGCCCATGAGAACCTGTCCCTACCTAACCTGGTCTTTCTCACAGTGCACTCATCACCATTGCAATCAAGTCCATTAGCTTTGCCGATGGTGGGCCCTCTTTCCTTCCCCTTTTCCCAGTAGAGCCTTTTCCAATCCTGTTTTCTAGCAATTGGTGCATTGGGTTGTCCTTAGCAGTTTTGATTTATTTCTACGCTGCTTCGCTATCCAGAAGCATGTGGAGTAATTTTATAACCAAGTCAGGAGCATCTTCAGTGAAGCTATTTGTAACACAAAGCCACTCCATTCTCTTTACTGTTTTATGTCAGTTAAAAATGGCCAATTGATTACAGCATATATCCCCCTCAAAGCCTTGTGACATCACAGTATAACATGATGAAAAGGGTTTTCATGATATTTCTAACTAGGACTCAAAAAATAATGCTGCCTTAATTCTGGAAAGCTGCTGTCATAATAAATAAAAGTGAAGAAGATGGACCTGTTGTTGTTATGGCATAACTGTTCTTCTTACTTCTGACCCATCTCCATCTATTGGCAAACCTTGACCTAGAAAATTGGTGTGCTGGCAGTTCTATGTGGTCAGACAGCAGAAGATTTCCTCCAGTAGGAATAACTTAATCCTAATCAGTCCGGACAAAATTAAATTTCATTATTATTTAGTGAATAGTGTATAATAAATTATTTCATTGCTTTGACGGTAAAATAAATATTAGTATGTGGTCATTCAATGCAATATAATACAACTTTACATTTTTTTTACATTTTAAGGAAAACTTTAAAAACAATTTGCATACCAATTATTACTGGCAAAAGGCCTAATATTGATAAATTATGTTTTAGTATCATCAAGTGGTGCAGGTTAAAATGGAACATGAGTTCATGGCTTGATTCAACAGAGAGATGTACAGTAAGAAAAGAAACTGGTTTATTTTTCAGCTCATTTACTTGAATGTGTATATATAATTGAAATCCATCAATTATTTGTTTATTTATTTACTTATTGAATCTGGTGTGGCAGGTTTGGTGGGGGAACCATCCCCTCACTATCCAGAGTTTGTGATGGTTTTAACAATTCTGAAGTATTGGCACTTGCTTAATTTGTGAGTCTACCGCTCAACTGCAGATTTTTACTGAATGAATAAGTTATAGTCCAATATAAATCAAATATGTCTAATAAGCCAGGAGAACTTTTACTTAATCCGCTTGCTGGGTTTATGTACTTCCTTTCTGCTGAGGTGCTGCAGCCATTTATAACTTAATTAGTGCTATGCATTCAAAAGTGTGTTAGCTCAAGCAGAAGTCTAAGAACTAGAACAGCCACATCCTTTAGAAGGCTGACAGAGCTGTTTCGAAGGCTGTTCCCAGTTGAATGCATATCTGTGCACAGACAGCACATTCTGTCACAAAGGGCAGCTTTGTGGGCAGGCACAGATAGTCGAGAACAGCCTGCTTAAAGCCTTCAAAAGACACAGCAGCTTTAATGCTTTGAGGATAGTAACGCGCTTGCAGGCTTTACAAAGCTCTCCCTTTGCTTTGTAAAATACAACTGCAAAATTGTCACATGCTTTAGCACTTTTCAGAGCCTGATGGCATAGCCTTTCTGACCTAGGATGTTTTTTCACTCCCACTAAGCACATGAACTTCTGACACATAAAAATAATTGTTTGTTGCAATGAAAACAACAGAGATTTCTGGCAACGGTTAATTTTGCTCTTAACATTTGCCATACTTCCTCTATTTCAGGTTTTTGTTTTTGTTTTACATTACAGTTTCACTATCCACCAGCTGTTAATGTTTGTGTGTGTACCTAACTCTGGATAAATTAATCTGAAATATTCAGTTCTCTAGAATCCTACATGACATTTAAAAAATTGATATGTTTCATATATGTTGAGCAGGGAATCCTTGCCCAAATAATGTCCTAAAGAGTACACGCATTAAACAAATTATAAATATTAAAAGTTTGAATCAGAATGTATAAACTGATTTCAGAAAAGCTAAGTATAATTGATTGTGTAACTAATTAACCCTTATTACTAGGAAATTTCAAGGCTGTGGACAACATTGGGAGATGTATGTAGTATGTATGTATGTATATATGTATACAGGTAATCCCCAGGTTACGAGTGTTCCCGTAGCAAATGTTCAAAGCTACACGATAAGCACCCCTTAGCATTTACGAACAAATCCTGAAACTATGAATCTTGCAGCACCATAGCAGTTGTTTGCCATTATAAACAACCACAGAGGCTCTGCAACATTCATCCTGCATGTTGCCGGCCAAAATGGACCTTCTGAGGAGTGGATTTGCCCCTCAGAAGCTCCATTTTTGTTGGCAATGTGCCAGGAAGGCCTGTAGAGGCCGGAACAGACCATTGGAGGGGCGCACACCAGTGGTGGGATTAAAAAGTTTTTACTACCAGTTCTGTGGGCGTGGTTTGGTGGGCATGGCAAATTTTATGAGTTTGCTTACAAGCAAAATTTATGTGACAGACTCAGGAAGCCGATTGCAGAAAGATAGATCTCTGAATGAATCTTTGATTCTGTGACTCAATCTGCTTGCCTGCTTTGCCTGATTTTGGGTAAAAGTTGCTCTTTTTTATAAAAAAAATCAATATTTACATAAATATTTATAATATTTGCATATAAGCCATGCCCAGCTAGTCACATGACCACCAAGCCACACCCACAAATTAGGCCACACCCACAGAACCGGTCGTTAGGAATTTGAATCCCACCCCTGGAGGTGGTATTTGCCGGTTCTCCGAACTACTCAAAATTTCTGCTACCAGTTCTCCAGAACTGGTCAAAACCTGTTGAATACCACCTCTGGTACACACAGCTGGAGTGGAGACTGCTTGCTAGATCTTCACAAGGTAGGTGACCCAGCGTGGCAAGTTGGAAGGGGGAGCAATTGTGGGGAGCATGAAGTATTTCAGTGGGTCGGGGAGGCCTTGGGTGGTCTTAGGCAGGTGGCCTGTTCCATCACTAGGCTCCCCATGGCCTTCCCCACCCTGAAATACTTAATGTGCATTAGTGAATGCATGGACGAAAGGAGGGAATGATCCCGTTCAAGGAACGAGATTCACTCCCATGAATCCTGGGGTTATGAATGGAATGGGCAGGCTTCGTTAGATTCATAATCCTGTATATGCAATACTCCCAGAAGAAGCAATGCCAAATAATTTCTGCATTGTTGCCAAAGAAACTATAGGTAGCCCCCCACTTGCAATCATTTGTTTAACATCTGTTCAAGGTTACAACAGTGATGGAAAAAAAGTGACTTACAACCAGTTGCACTTTTAACCATCACAGCATCCCCACATTCATGTGATCAGAATTTGGGTGCTTGGCAATTGGCACATATTGATACAGCACCCTGATCACCATCTGCAACTTTCTCAGGGCCTTCCAAAGTGCAAATAATCACATAATTTACTGAACAGCAGCAAAGAAAAAGTCATAAAATCGGATGCGACTCACTTAACAATTGCTTCTTTTAGCAACAGAGGTTCTGGTCCCAATTATTGTTGCAAATGGAGGACTACCTATACTTTGCTATGAAGTCACCACTAAGCTATTCCTTACCTAAAATGATCTTAAATTTTTAGCGATAAGATATGAGGAAGTTGCAAGTTCTAGAAAATAATACCCATATAATTAGCAGCTAGGAAGAGTTGTTTAATTAACAAAGCTGCTCTGGAATCATTTTGGGTAAATAAAACAAGAGACTAACTAACTAGTCATACCCTATAATCCTAATTTAAAATTGTCCATTAATCTCACAAAACTATAACTTTGGGTTTTTTTTAAAAAAAAATCGGACATGTCTTCTGCTTCTGTCTAAAATATTTAATTGTTTCATTCTTTTAAGCTACAAATGGGTTTCTTGGTCCCTGGTAGCTGAAGTTCAAATGCAATAAGTATGTGGTACTAATCATGTTCCTCTTTGTACAGCCTTTAAAAAGTGCACCTTGGATAGGCTGGATGAGCTGAGGGTGGGGTGGCCTTTGATAACGTCTTGAAGGGGAGAGATAAACAGCCACCTGCATTAGGACTTCCGCAGCAAGACAAAGGCGCCACAGTTTTAACTCCAGCAAATCCAGAATTGCTAGTGGCAAGACCAGGAACTGAAGGACAGAGGTCAGCTATATGGAGCAACAGGAGCCACGTGCTGCCTCTTCGACACACTCGTGATTCATTGTCTTCATGGCTGGGAACTTGTTTCTGTTTCCAAGTTGAGATATTTATCCTGGCAATAAAGCAGAACAAATGACAAAGAGGGAATAAGAGTCTTCATTGCAAGATGATCACCTTGTTCTGTTTTCTTAGGCTTCATACAAAAATCTGAAACGATTTGACATTTCTAGCACTCGGCTGTATCCAGCAGATATAAAGGCCTTTTATGCTCCATAGGAATTGAGCAATACAATTCCTGTATTA